TAGCAGTTGTCGTAGTCGTAGTCGTAGTCGTAGTGGTAGTGGTGGTAGTAGTGGTAGTACTACTACTACTACTACTACTACTACTACTACTAGTAGTAGTAGTAGTAGTAGTAGTAATAGTAGCAGTAGTAGTAATAGTAGTAGTAGTAGTAGTAGTAGTAGTAGTAGTTGTTGTTGTTCTAATGGTGGCGTAGTCGTAGTCGTAGTGGTAGTGGTGGTAGTAGTGGTAGTAGTGGTAGTACAACAACTACCATTACTACTACTACTACTACTACTACTACTACTACGACTGCTACTACTGCTGCTACTGCCACTGCTACGACTACGATTACGACGGCGACTACTACAACTGCTACTACTATTCTCATTTTTGCTATGGGTGTCGTAGCGGTTTCTGGTATCTTTACGTTGGGTTTTATGAGGGTTTTTGCGCTTATGTTTATTAATGTTGTTATAAGAGCTTCATTGATGGTTTAATGTTACCCCACGTATAGCCGCTTACCAAATTTCCATGCTTCTTGAAGTAAGGGTTCTGAACCGGACTTCAGAGTTTAAGGTTTGGGTAGTTCCTTAATTTGGTGCTCTAGTGGGATCTTAGAAGGGTCCGATATGAGATGTACTGATTTTATAACGGTGTGAAGAGGATTCGGCTTGTTCTCTACAGTAGGGCCTTTTTTTTGGCTGAATTAGTACGCCATTCTGTGTCTGGGACTCCTGTGTTTGGTTATGCGAGTTCGCTGGATGCTGGCATGGTCTAGCTAGCTATTCAATTGGGCTTCCAGGCCAGACCCCTTAAAGCGTCCAGGAAATATAGCCTGCGAAATTTACATTACCTTGACCCTCTTCTTCCTCTGATCTGTAGAGGCTTCTGGATGGATTTTTGTGGTTTCGTTCTTTTGCTGGATGAAGTTTTGTGTTTGGGTTGTGCCAAGGCTCAGAATGTCAGGCTTTTTCACTCTTGCTGGAGAAACGAGATGCAGGCATCCAGAAACATTGAGTGTTGAGACAATGTAGCGCCGAGTAGATGCGAACAACTCTATGACAGCCTTGCCCAATCCTCCGCAAGCCTGAGTCACCAAAGCTGTGAACCCTGAATCGGCCAGAACGGAACGGGCGCGAGTCGCGGAGCCAAGGGGAACCGGGGGGAAGGGAGGGGACAGAGTAAAGAGTTTCGAGCCAGAGTCTCAGAGCCGCGTGCATACTTGGAATCCTTTTCGAGGCAGCCATTCCTAACAATGAGAACCTCGACATAGGACCCCGGAGGTTAATTCATGACATCCCTAAAGAGCTTGTGTTTAAGGATTAAGGCATAGGCATAGGTCCCAGAAATCGAAACGGCTGCTTTAAGGTACAGCTTAGGGCTTCTAGGTGCAGTCTTAGCATTAGTCTTTGTGTATTAGTACCAGTATTTGTATTAATATTCGTATTCGTAACAGCATAGCATGAGTATTAGTATTAGTCATGTGTCCTGGCTTGGGTAATCTCAACACTGTCATTGATTTGGGCATACAGGTCGACCTTCGAATATACGTGTCGAATAATGAGTCATAATATCCCCGTATAGCCCCATGTAAAGTCTTATTATAAGTGGCCCCAGTGCCCTGTCCGAATTGCTATGGCCCCTATACTGCTACCAACAGATGCTCTTGGCCTCAAGCAGGGCATGAGCTGCTTTATGAAATCATGTGGGCTATACGTGCAACGCAGCTTCTTCCGGTCGCCCTCAGTACTTAGTAACAAGACCCCTTCTCGTTTCCGTACCAGAGGACTACGATGTGCTTCAACATTCCATTCCAATTCTTCGGACACCTTTCCTTTCGGATCCGCATGTAGGCGAAAACTAAGAACGGGAGCCCTTGCTCGGAAACCTAAGCCCGGAAATCAAAACAAGAGCCAATCCCTAAGCCCCAATGTTTATTCGTGCTTGGGGTTGTAGGATACACCTTTACTGTACCCCAAACCCTCCCGAAACCCTGGCCCCAAGACACTCGGCTCCAAAAGCCGTTATCCTCCCGGAAAACTCTTGGACTTTTGCCGAGATTCTTCGTATCTCAGCTTTCTGGATGCCAGAGAGCCTACGCTCCCGGACGAGTTTCGAGTTATACTGCTCCTGTGTGTCCGCTGCGCCTGCAGAATCTGCCAATGGAACTTTCCGCCTACTCTCTGTCGCTGAGGCGGCAAAGGTCGCGCCGTGAGTCGAACAGGGAGAGGCGCTTTGCTTCCCAGCGCTCATCCGAGGGACCTTGCGCGAGATTCAGGAATCTCGGTTTGCCAGGTCAATGTGGTCAAAGCATTGGTCTAAGTAATGGTTCAAGGGTTCGTGCATGACTAGGGAACGAAGAAAGAAGCGAGCACCAGAAGGCGAACTCAAGTGTAAAGCCGCGACCCATATGATACTCTTGCCAACATTCCTCGATGAAGGAGACTTCCTTAAACCATACAGCGGACTGATGCATACGGGAAGCCGAGGTGTTTGACTTGTTGAGTCCTTTGTGGTTTGAGTTTCAGAAAATCTAGCCTGCGATTGCCGTGACTTGTAGGATCCTTCTTTCAGCTACCTCTAAATCACGTACCCCTAATTTCTTAAGTCTTCAATAGAAGTACCTTTGCCCCTCTTTTAGTTGAGGCCCGTGATGGATCTAGAAAGCAGCAAAATCGTCATCTTTTCTCGCTGCGGGTTCCGTTATGGTTATGGTGGTCAATGTAGGAGCTTTGTGTCTGCCTCATTCTCTCGCCACTCGAAAACCTGCACATCCTTCACAGGGAGCTTTAATGGTTAGTACAACTGTTCTCTTATAGTCCCTAAACCAGAATAGTATGCTCTTCTCACAAGCCTCATTCCCATCATTGAGGCCCCTATGTTGCCTTCCTGCTGTGATTTCCCGACTATTACGAACGCTTCCACGTTGCGGCTGTTCGTGCACAGAGGTCTTGATGCTGGAGCTAGCGTGGGTCTTAATGTCGGTGTTGTTGATGTGTTGTAGGTTCCGTTGTTGGAGTTTCAGAAACTGAGGCAACTGGGAAACTTAAGCTTGGGTTCGTGGCTCGAAATATGGGTCCCGCAAGTTTCCGAAACTGTGTTTCCAGGCGATCCCCTCCTCGAGAAGCCAGCCGATCACGGACCTGGACGCAGGAGAAGGCACGCATGGCGGTGTGATGATTTCCGACCTCTTGGGAGCTTCAGACAAGAAGGACCCCATAAGGCCTCGAAATCGCTAGACGAATGTTCAGCCTTCAGAGTGCTCGTGCTTGACTTCGCTGCAAGTTTCTCAAGGATTCATTATTGAAATGGTGCCCCTGGACTTTGCAGACATTTGCAGAAGCCCCCGTTCTATGCTTCAGGCTAGACCCACCTACCTGCAAAGGAAATCCTTGGAATTTGGACGCGGTATACATTCGTTGCTACAAGTACAACAGCCGCGGAGCGGATACTTTTTCGGGGTCCAAGAAAGTACCTATTTCAGTTCAGGTTTCAAGCGATGCTCCCACGGCAGGGCCGAGACCTGTTCATTGCTGAGCCAGTTCCGAACCACCAGGGTATAGTATAGTACCGGATAGTATAGTACTGTTTTCTGCTGTATACCGAAGCACAAGCATGATAGCTTGTTGACACGAGCCCTCTGCAGCCTTGTCGAGTCAAATCACCGAGATCCCAAACCTTGACATGTCCTGCGAGGTGCGTTCTCGTTGCTGAGTGTGGACCGGAAATAAAGAGAGCCGTGAAGCAGCATCGTTTTTGATGCCAGCTCTAACGAAAGAACCGCGAATGTTATGTAAAAAAATCCTGCTCGTGCAATGCGTAGTTCTTCTTTTCCTGCCGCAATGCCAAGGCGCCTTGCTGGGAGGCACGGCTCTCAGCAGTCCGAAGCCTTGCTTCTTTCGGGCTCTACAAAGCAAACTCTTACATTTCATCCAGGAAAAATTTCTGGCAAATCCCTAAACCCGGCCCTGGTAGGAGAGACTGTGACTTGTGCTGTCGAGGAGACTCTGTGCCGGCCGAAGTCCGCCGCGAAGCCGGGTAGCGCGTGGGGACCTCGAACGGCGGGTTTAGGGGTTTAGGGGTTTAGGGCTCTGTGTTTCGGCTCTAAAGGCTCGTTGTTCTTGCGAAGCGTCTCTCCTGTGAGGCTTGGAGCTTCTCTTGGGTGCATCGATGCAGAGGCTTTTTTGAGTATCAAATTGGAAAGAGCAGCATTCTTAACCCTAAACCCTGAACCTTAAACCCTAAACCCTCAACCTTAAACCCCTAAACCCTGAACCTTAAACCCTAAGCCAGCAAGACATGAGGTCTTTGTCAGCCGCGCCACCACTCCTTCGGCCAAAATCGGCAGCAAAGCCGCAAAAGAGATGAGGCGGCACTATCGGCATGTCCAAGCAGGGTTACCACAAATAATAGATGACACAAAACATGAAATATATAATCTACATTATATAAAGTATAATCCACAATATACAATGTATAATGTATAGTATACGAGATATTAAGCTTCACAGGCTGTCAGTCACTAACAGCGGTGAGAGCAGCTCAACACAGGAACTATGTTTCATCAACTGACAGTACCTCTTGAGTCCTACCTTTGGTTAGTAGGGAATGGAAGAATGGTAGTAATAGTAGTTATCATTGTACCCCATTCCTCCATTCCCTACTGACCAAAGGTAAGGAGTTGCATACAAAAGCGTTGAAGCTTAGAGCAGAGGAAACGTGCGGATGGAGGCAAGGACAAAAGTCGTTCGCTGGTTCTCTGGTTCTGCAAAGACTTTGTGGAGACTATGTCTGCCGACGAAGACATGCTAGAGACAGGATTTGTTCAGGATGTGCAGATGTCATCATCCAGCTCTGTCGGCTCGAAAAGCTCTGCACACTACATCTCTTGGACTCATGAATGGCCGCAAGATACGTTTCTACGCTAGACCCTACATTGTTAAGACCCGTCTCTTGTATCCGAGCACATCGGTGGCTTGGCAGCCAGCTGCCGGGAGAGGCGGGCCTCACTCTGAAGCCGCATGAAAGTGTCTGAATCTTCTTACAGGTGAGCTTGATGAGGGGTTAGGAGCAGTTGCTAGTACGTAGTCTTCCATAGTGCATGCATGTATCTAGCATAATACGCCACGAAGTCCTATTCTGTTGAGTACGGCCCTTACAGAAGCCTCGAAGATGTGGCTGAGATGCGCGGTGCTCGCAGTTCAAAAAGGGTTCTGGTTCCCGGGGACACCGTTGCGACGCCATTGCAGTTCGGGTTGCACAGAGCACTCACAGTCATGATCATCGTGACAGTGCATGGAAAGACCACTAATGACAAGCCTCGCCATCATCAAAGCTGGTGGAGGCAATAGTTCCCCAACTTCAAAAATCCAAGCAATAGGATCCTTATACATGACTTCGTACCTCCTTCAGATAAAGCAGGACAAGTCTGTTGACATCTGGACTTGCGGCAATCGGAGAACCAAAATTATCGAAGCTCCTCACGTGCGGTCTGGCCCGGGGCATTCTGCGTCGCAGCTTAGGAGTTCAGGGCCGGGTTTAGGGTTTTTTATGTTTAAGCCTGTTTCGGTTTAGGGTTCAAGCATGAGTTGTGCTTGCTTGAAGAAGCGCCCCATGTTGCACGCCGACATTTTCAGCTCGAGCTGTTCCAAGATTGCGAAATCCAACAGCGCAGCCATGTCCAAGTGGTTGCTCTCCTCCATTGCATTCCTGTCGGTGCAAATGCCTATGGCGCACAGATTCACTCAAAATATACAGCTTGCACTGGACAACAATCACATCACACGAGCCAGCGCGTGGTATGACCACGGACGCGTAAAATACGTCGATGCAACGGAGGACGACCAGGAGAAGATTATGACGGGAGTCGGGTGCTACTGCAAGAAGGCCTTGTCTCAAGGGTTAGAAGCATTTGCAGAGCTGCTTTGCCGTCGCTAATGGCTAGGTTGCCCGGCCCTTCGACAGACAAGTGCATGTCACAGCCGCCAGCTTGTCAGAAAAGATCGAGCCATGTTTGCCTGTCGTGTCGCACCCATTCCATTGTACGTGGCGAAAGCGATTTCATGAGGGAACACCGCTAATTGGTTCACAACAATAGAGTAGCAACCGGCATCGTATCAGCAATAATCCTGCACAGGTGCAATCCAGGGAGGACTGCCCGAGCATCAAGGCCAATCACGACGTCAGTGCTCCCAACCGCTACCGCTGGTATCACCAAGATGCTGAAGACGGGTTATGTTGCAAGATGGCTTGGACGTCACTCTTCACATGGGTTGGCCTTCACTACAAGCGTCAGGAGATTATGGATCCTTGTGTGTCCGAGGTGGGAGGTTCAAAAAGCAGGGGACCAGAATATAGGCTCGAACAAGGACCCTGCAGTATGCTTCCCCTAGTTCTACTCACCCCTGATGAAACCCTCGTACAAGCCGTATAGCAACGCACCCCAAATTTTGAACGACCTGCAGGTCAGGCCAGCACCAAGCGCAGCCTGTTGCCATCTCAAGAACAAGCAGGGCTCCGTTGGCCTCCGTGTGAAGCAGAATTTCGGTGATCCAGCACATGACTTTATGGGCTGTTTGTTGCAATGGGAAAATCTGTGCTAAACACTAGGATCCGTATTCTCGGGACGAGCAAGTAAGGCACCCCGAAAAGGTAAACCGTTAGCTTTGCTACATGAAGCTGGAGGAGCAATATAGACACTTGAATAACTAGTCTCTGAGTTCCCTAGTACGACTACAGAATCATGAGCGCCAGAACTCTTTTCTAATTCTTAAGACCCCTGTATTCAGGACTTATTCAGAGGCCTGGGTGCAGGGGTCATCGCGGAACTACGGAGCGACCGTCGAGCGGCGATTCTGGAAAGTCCAGGCGCTTAACTTGGAAGATGTCCTGGGAAGTACCTGTGCATCCCATAAAATTTTTGAAAGTTAATATAAGGCTTCGGGTATACAGTAACATGATATAAGAGAAGGTTTTGGACGTATGGGGTCAGAGCTAACACTGTTGGAGGGTCCGGGACTGCAGGTACAGATCACACCGGAGTGCCGATTGATGTGGAGGATGTGCAGGGCTTCGTGGAAAACGGTCTAGACGCCGGTCGCTTCGAGCGATTGGAGTGCGAAGAAACGGAACTGATCAACGACTCAGGGGAGCCCGGACTGGAAATTGGAATACTACTCTTTTGCCCTTTTGCTTATGGTGTCTCCTCGGCTTCAGATCCCAGGATTGCCTCCTCCGTACGAAGGCCTCGTCGGAGTGCTGCTGCCACCAGGCGGTCTCATACCAGGGCTAGGGTCAATGTACAAATTCAATTTGTTTGGTCATCAAAGTCGGACACTTTGGCAACCAGCGCAATGCTCTCCAACACAATTCTGGCTTTATATTCTCTGAATTTTTGGATGATGATTCCACTCATTCCGCGTAGTCTGTTGTGTTGTGTCTATATACAAACAGATCTGATGTATGTTGACGTAAGCTGTAAAATATGCACCATAGCCATTCTCAGGTACCTGTGTGTTTCTACCTTTAGTTTCATATTGTACTTATAGTCAGGTTTGTTTGACATGTATACATTGTACGCATGCATGTAGGTAGGTGTCGAGGCATATACAAATGTGGATCTCAATATACGTTTTTTCTATGTACATATATACATATGTATATATTATATATGTATATATATATATATAGATATATATATATATGCATGCATACCTTTATACATGCAGACACACGAATACTAGTAACCATTATCGTGCACAGGGAGCGTGTACATACTTGCGCATGCGCCAGCTTGCGCATGGGTGTGTGAGGGTCTCTATATATATATATGCAAAACACAACCATAAATTTATGTAGACATACTCCTTCAATATCGTTTTGCACATCTGCTGTGATGCCAAGCATGTTGTACTGCGTACGTACACATGCCGGGATATGCGATGTAGTATGTAACGACTTGCTGTAAGAAACACCAAGAAGTTGCGTTTTTGTAGTTTGTTGCCTGCGTGTGGCCAATTCTCTCTACACCTAACATTAGAACCTCATAGTTTCATGTGTACCACACTGCTTCCGGCTTCGGGAAAAGGTGACGCCTTTTGTACATATAGGGGTATGTACAAACATCTCTTTATATTTATGTATACATATGATCATATATATATATATAAACCCAGGATGTAAAACTTCATAATCAGACAACATAAACATAAGGTCGGGAAACACGTCTGCGTGAGTGTGTTCCTATACACATGTTATACATGTATATGTAGATATGCATTTATACATATATGCACATATATACATATATATATATACATGTATACATGCATACATGGAGGGTGTGTGTATGTGTATATACACATATGTGTGTGTGCGTGCACGTTTCTTGATGATTTGCTTCTTATACCCAGCATGTAAACACACGACATAAAATCAAGAAACGATGGTGGCCACGTAGCGTGCCACAGAAAATGTTCCCCGGGACGTGCCTCCCATTGCAGCGGAATGCATATTTCGCGCTCACGTGTCATAAGCTTCACACCCCGACTCCGGAAGCCAGATCCCTCGTAAATTCCAACACATCGTGGCTTCCTTTGGCCTCGAAGTCTTTTGCCTCCAGCAGCCTTTGAGGGACGGATGTTGGCCGTGCTCATGAATGCCGGCACTTGGGGGATGAAAAATTGTTGGACGCCCCCAAGTACTTGAGTTTGACCGTGTGTCCTGGCTCCTGGGATCTCCTGCAGTCTCCTCCTGATTGTCTTCTGGTCTCCGGGTGATCGCCATGGTCATCCTCCTGGTGGAGATGGTTCCTAGTGGCGGCGTCATGGTCGTCGTGCTATAGCACTGTTGCGGGATCTACACTTTCAGTTCTGTATTTCCTTGCCGGCGCAATGCAGTTTTTGACTTACGGCTACGCAGTTAGTATAACCATCTGTGTGTTCATTCAGCATCACTATTGGCACATGTAAATACCGAATGTGTCTGTTGGCTGCGACCGTGACCCCATTGCTACATAATGCAACCCTCGATGTCAGTGTCACGTATCACATTAGATAGACTCCACTTATCTTCCAACTTCGTGTCTGGTTTCGCTTTATGTGCTTCTCAGTTGCTTTCCGTTTTGCACTCCCGTGCCTCTACCTTTTGGTACTTCGACCCTTCCCTCCATTTGCGCGCTCCTAGTCACAGTCTTTGACGCCTGCCCAATGCTGGCTATGCCAGAACAAGCCATCCAGCACAGCCATAGCGGCCTCATGCCCCATTGCAAGTTGCTCCAAAGCCTGCATTCTTTCGTGGTTTGTTTGCAGGCAACCTTGACAGCAGCCGAGCGGTGCTTGCCTGTAGACGGCGCCCCCAGCAACACAGAGGACACGTACCTTGAAGGAACCTACAGCGAGGAGGGCTACAATGGCCACAAGTGGCTCGGGTGCTGATTGAAAGTGTTAGTGAACTGTTAGTGTTCATGGCACATGTCATTTCCACAGATCGAAAGCAGCCTGACAGCCGAGGAAGGGATCCATTAGCTTCCCGCCAGGTCCGAACGCAAAGGAGCGCGAAATTCTTCCAGAGATTGTGCATTCTGTTGATCCCGAAATGGTCGACGATTTGACTACAGCTGCCAACGAGTCCGAAATGGTTTTCCCTTGGGGGCAGAATCCTCAGTGGACGGCGACCTGTTTGATGAAGCAGAAAGTGGCTTACGTCAGAAGCCAGCGACACAGCAAGCGGGTGCGCAGCGGAACACATTGCCACAGAGTGGGGAAAAGCACACATTGCCGACCCAAATATCGCACCAAGCATTGGACAACGTATCATCAAGAGTACTCCGACAAGTGCATCAGGTACAAATTCACCCGCACATGCTCAGCCGGGCATGCATTCTACGAGAAGCAATTTCCGCCGGGCGTTTGTGCCCGAGAACCTACGGACGAGAATGAAGATACAGTTCAGCTCCAAGATCTTGGCAGTTTGAGCTTCATGTGCCCTGAAGACTACAAAAGCGGCACACCAGGAGGATATCGTTTTACCGAGCTATGCCAGTGTGCCGCCTCATGCTAGGGCAACGGTTTAGGGTTTAGGGAACCTCAACGCCACATTCATGCTGCAGCGGTCAGACAAAGCCTTGGACGCCATTGAAAAAAGCGCTGTCGTTGCCGGAATATTACCAAGCTGCATGTTCTACTTGAACACCGCAGCTGGAAGCAGCGGGTCAATCTATAAAGCGCTACGGCTACACGCGCTCTATGTGGTGCAGCATGCTTCGGAGCGCCTAAGCCTTATACGAGCCGGTTCGGCCTACCCAGGACCCAAAATTTCGGAAAATTTAGAAGTTCGTCTTCGGTGGTCTCGGGCTAGGCCCAGTTTTCCAAGTTTTTGGAAAATTTGATGATCCGGGTAGCTCGAGGGTCTCGAAATTTGCGGAAAATTTTCAGTCATCCTTTCTCTAAATTTTCTAAACATTTAAATAATGCCTTATGTTCCAAATGCAGAACATGTGTTATAGCCATTTCATAGTCTTGTACAGGGATTTTCGCATGTAGTGCTATGGAGCAGCGCTTACACGCGAAAATTTAGTATCTGTCTGTCTATCTATCTATCTGTCGGTCCGTCCGTCCGTCCGTCCGTCCGTCCGTCTGTCCAT